GGTTCATTATGTTTGTATTAAGAGGGTTCTTACATGTTGGCTGGAGAAACATTTCCTCAGCTAAGCTTTGGGAATCATAAGTTCACTCCAGTATGGAGTTAGTAAACAGGAACCTGGCAGGCTGCAACTGTTAACAAGCCCATAACTCCTAATGCCATGAATCCTGAACATGCTTGATTGCTTGTGGAGACAGAGAAGTTCTCTCCAAATTTAAATCATGGAACAGCATAAAACAGAATACATCTTTTGAAGAGCTTTTATGCTCAAAATGTGCATTAACAATATTGTGAAATTGCTAAGCAAGCTTACTTAATAATATGATTTAGCTTCAGATCAATGAAATAAGAAATGGAGAAACATATAGGATACAAAGACATTTCAAAGAAAAGTCCTCACTTTCCTTTCCATGCTAAACCAACAGGTGTTTAAATTTTGACTATAAGCCCACAAAAGAAAGGAAAGTCCGAATTAAGCCTCATTATTGGAGCCTTTTCTCTCTTCTGTGGGCACCTGCTAATAGGAGTGAAACACAAATACCAAGAAGAGAATAAGCTACAAGTGTGAGCCCCAATGTGATTTTCCTTCTTTCTGTGAATTTCAGTCAGATTCTGAAGAACCCCCTGACAGAAGTTCTAAGCAAACATTCAAGTGACTTGGCAGACTTGGTGGAAAAGATCTTTTTTGAGAGAAGGCGCTAGATGGCATTTACAGGAAAGAAGCAGATTTGGAGAGAGTTAGAAGTGAAGAAGCTTTGAAGTTTTTGAGATACAAAACATTTTCAAAGAGAAGAAACCAAGATAGTCCAGTTGTCTTTTGGAAAAAGCACCTTTGGGACACCCATTTTAAACCATGACTGATTGGCAAATGTTGGCGTAATGAAAGAAAGTGGGCATTACCACAATATTGTGAACTTAAATTTAATTTTAAGAAAACAATTTGGGGGATATCTGTGCATTGACAGTGAAATATTATCATGTTTATTCAGAAGGAAGTGCAACTAAGATGAGAGGGTCTTGCCTCTAAGAAAATGTGCATAGGATTATAGCCTTTAAACCATGATCTAGACCAGGGGTCACCAACCTTTTGGACCTCAGGGACCACCAAACTCATAATTTTAAATTCTGCAGACCAGACACCCTTGGAAAATCCCCAAAAAAGTCTGCAGGAAAATTCCCCACCCAATTTTCCTATCGATCGATCATTATTTGGGATTGCAGGATACCAGCTCAAGCTCCATTCTCAGGAAGAGAGGGAGAGAGAGAAAGACTTTTGGCTTCATGCAAGGAAAGTAGCAGAAGCAGCAGAAGTCTTTCTTTCTCTCCCCCAAATTCCACCAAAAATGGTTTTTGTGAGACTTGTTGCACCAGTGCAACCTCTTGGAGCAGGATGCCTTGCAGGGTCCCAAAGACTCATTTCTGGCAGAGTTTGGGGGAGAGAAAGAAAGACTTTTGCTGCTTTCCTTGCATGCAGCCAAAAGCAGAAGAAAGAAGCAGCCCAGGAGCCAGATGAGGCAATTGAGACAAGTTCCCCCTCCTTTCCCCCCTCCCTATCTCGTGTTGTTCACAATGCAAGCCTTGTGTTCCTACGGGCCATGTGGGCAGCGTAGCCTTGTGTTCCCACGCAGCCTGGATTAATTGCTTTGGGAGGTGCTTTGGGGGTGACATCTCTCTGCGGACCGTGAGTGGTCCCTGGCCCACTGGTTGGCTTTATCTTTATTTTGTCAGATTGGTTTTTAAAATAATTTTTGTTGATGCCATTGTTGTTTTGAATCAGATCAAGTTCAAAGAGCTGTTGTTAAATTGGTAATTTAATGATGCAACAGTAAGCCATTAATCTACTTTACCATTGCATGTAAACATAGGCATTGTCACATTATAGTTAAACTTACCCCTACATTTCTTTTAGCAGTTTTTTTGTCTGTATTGTTTCTGAGGCAGAAAATCAGTTTTTTTCCCCTTTCTGAACTTGAAAAGTAGTTTTGATTTTGAATGTTTTTTAGTAATTTTGATTTTTAACATATATACACATAATATAGCTATATCTACCTACCTTTGTCTATTTTATATTAAACTCCTCTTGGAACTATAGTCATATATCTTGTGTGTTTAAGAAGCACTCAATCATCATTGTGCTTTTATAGAAATAGTGCTTTTTTTTGTTTGATAATCCTTGCTCATAATGATGTATTGTATGTATGATTATGTAATCTCTCAAGTCAATTTCTGACTTCCACAGAAATAAATGTAAAATAAGTTTTTGCAGAAGTCTTTAGATCCAGGTCATGGTTGTCCCAAAGGTGCTTTTTCAGGAGGCAACTGGACTTTCTTGTTTTTTCTTTTGAAGACATTTCACTTCTCATCCAAGAAGCTTCTTCAGCTCTGACAGGATGGTGGGGAATCCTTTTGCAGAAGAAAAAGTTTCTTCTGACTGTGATAGCATGTGCAGAGAATAAATTCAGCTGACCATACATTTCTGTCATAATTTTAAATTCAGAGAAATAAGTAAGAAATTAAACACGCTTTGAACTTTTTTTGTAGGAAGCAAGTGAGTGAATTTCCTCATCAGCCTTTCCATAATTTTTCTATTTTTTTACCCTGTAATCTGTTAGATTTCACCACTAGCAAATCTAATATCAGAAATTAAATCTAATGTTTCTGGCTTGCTGTAATCAAGCTATTTTAATTCTTCCCAGTTCACCTATTTATAACTTTCTCTTTCCTCATTTCAGTAGGTTACCTTCCCAAAGAGCTATACAGGTAGTCATTGATTTACAGTAGTTTGTTTAGTGACTGTTCAAAGTTAAAACGGCACTGAAAAAAGTGATTAATGATCGTTTTTCACAGTTATGACCATTCCAGCATCCCTGTGTGATCATGTGATCAAAATTCAGATGCTTGGCAACTGGTTCATAATTATGACTGTTGCTGGGTCCCAAGGTCATGTGATAACCTTTTATGACCTTTTCACAAGCAAAGTCAATGGCGAAGCCAGATTCACTTAACAACTGGGTTACTAACTTATCAACTACAGTGATTCACTTAACAACTGAAGCAAGAAAGGTTGTAAAGGGGAGCAAGATTCACTTAACAGATGTCTCACTTAACAACAGAAATGTTGGGCTCAATTGTGATCGTAAGTCAAGGACTACCTGTGCTGCCTATGTCAATATTTTTGCTTCATTTTTTCACATGTTAGTTTGTCAAAGTGACTTCATCCTATTTCTAAGATGGTTATTCACCTCATAATAAAGGAAGGCCGTTTATGGGAGTGTCTGGTTCTTTACCTGATATTTTGGGGTTTAAAGATTGCAACGGGGAAGGGTATGATTTTTCAAATCTAAGGAGTTAAGGAACTATTATTATAGGTTTTATTCAGGGATAAAGATTGAACTTTCTTAAATGTCTGAATTCAGATTGGAACTAAATCCTAGAATTTCATTGCTGATGCTCTTTGTATGTCACACTCCTAGTAAGAATATCCACTGTGGAAGTAGTCCTCAACTTGCAACATTTAGTGACTGCTCAAAATTACAAAATTGCACTGAAAAAAGTGACTCTTATGATTATTTTTCACAGTTATGACCGTTTCAGCATCCTCAGGGTCACATGATTCAGATGTTTGTCATCTGGTTCATATTTATGATAGTTGTAGTGTCCTGGGATCATGTGAATAGCTTTTGTGGCCTTCTGACAAGCAAAGTCAATGGGGAAACCAGATTCACTTAACAATTGGGTTATTAATTTAACAACTGCAAGGATTCACTTAACAACTGTGGCATGAAAGGTTGTAAAATGGGGCAAAACTCATTTAATAAATGTCTCATTTAACAACTTAAATGAGCTCAATTGTGACCGTAAGTTGAAAATGCCCATAAAGCTCCAATGGGGGTGAGGGGGAATCTAGAAACAGAAAACATTACATACAATGGTTTTATTTTCAGTAACATTCTATCTTCCTTTTTAAAAAAATTATCACCTTTCCTTTGCCTTCATTCAAACATTCATTCAGCCTATGCAAGGTTTTTGGTGGTACTGGAGATATTGGTTACCTTCTTGTATGTCCCGTCCCCCCCTCAAATTCCCAGACTGGCCCACATTTTTGGAATGCCCAGGTGTTTTGCCATACAGGTCCACTCCATAGCTGAACCTGTTTAACTTCTGAGATCAGTCAGTTGGAGGGGTGCCACTAACTATGGAGACAGAATGAAATAAATTCATTGCAGAACGAGATCTTCTAGATCTCTTTCATTTTGGAAATCCTTTTGAATAAATGTGCTTGTGTATCCTATTTAGAAGAAGAAGAAAGTATCTAAATATATTTACACAAAAAGTCATTTCTTGACTCACAACAATGACAAGCTAGTATGATACTATGGTTAGAAGGTTGGGAAAAATCGGGCAGACCAAATTGTAAAACTCTGGGTGATTTAGTGGCAGTTAGTATCTCTCCACCAAACCTTTTCACAGTTGTTCAAAAGATTGGGCAGAGTGATGACAGAATGATGGCAAGAAATCATCCTCATGCTTTTTTTCCTGGGGAAAAAAAGGAAAATAATAGGAAACATAAGTAATGATGCTTTCACTTTAGTATCTAGTCAGTTTTTCGATATCTGGTATCGTTCAGATTGTACTGAGACTATTCCTCGCAGAGTTTTTCAGCTGACACAAGCATCAGTTTTGGAAGTTATAATCCCATCTCTTTAAATTGTGGAAGACTGCCCTAATCTGAGGCTTTGGGGGTTTTCTTCTCAATTTGGCCTTTTCATTTGAGGAGAAAGAAACTTGATGTTGCATAGCTGCAGAGATTTAGAATGCCAGCCTATGCAAGATTTAAATGACAGTTGTATAACAGGGCTTTATTTAGGAAATCTCACATTCATTGTACATGGCAGGGGAAAGTATAATAGGTTTGGCTAATATAATCCTGTTTTGATTTTGACAGATTTTAGTATTTTGTTTTTCTAAGTCTATGGTAACTAAGAATATTTTTCCTATTCACAGAGCAAGCTTTTCATGGAAGGATTTAGAAGCCTAAAAGAAGGAGAACCAGTGGAATTTACTTTTAAGAAATCTTCCAAAGGCCTTGAATCAATACGGGTAACAGGTCCAGGTGGGAGTCCCTGTTTAGGAAGTGAGAGACGACCCAAAGGAAAAACAGTACAGAAAAGAAAGCCAAAGGGAGATAGGTAATGGAGTTACTAACTTTTTCTATATTTGCACCTTTTCTGAACGTGTTTATTTCTTAATTATTTGTGAATAAATGTGCATCACATGTATCAGACCCAGTTGGTGGTATTGTCTAGATATGTGAATTGCTTGATTTCAAAGATGAAGACTGGGAAGTCTCTGGAATTTACATGCTTCTGAGTTTTTGATTCATCCCAGTGATGCAAGTTGACTTGCTTTAGGTGAGCAAAATTAGTTTTTCAGATGTTCAGAAGCATACCCATCATAATTATGATTTGCCTGGTCAGAGTTAAGTCCTTACAGTGCAATGGTACTCAAATATGGGTTTATAAAAACTGGATATTGCCCTTCAGCATCCAGTTTTTATCAGTCAGTTTTCCCATGTTGGCTGTGTACATGTATAATATGTGTCTCAAAGCTTCTTTAGATGTTTCCAGAAAATAGGTTCTACACTCAGAAGAGATCAGAATATCAAGAGGGGGCGGGAGAGAGGGAGAGAGAGAGAGAGAGAGAGAGAGAGAGCATGTATATGTTTATGTATATATAGTGTGTGTTTCTGAACATTTAATTGAAATTTGGTAATGATTTATACTCTGAATTTATGGTTCTCTAGTAATATAGGGACTTACATGATGCCACAGTGCTATAGAAACTGGAAGACCACAACTTGTATATTATGACAGATATGTAGTCACTGATCTTTATGCTTGCTTGTTTCAGTTTAAAATTGTCTTTTAATGCTAGGGCAACAGGGTAATCACAAAACTTGTGAGTGAAAGTCAAGAACAGATCTGCTGCTTTGGGCTTGCATGATTGAACAAGGCTTATACAGAAGGAAAAAAATTGAAGATATTGAAGATAGACTGAACTGCAAATGTAGAAACACAATAGTATTATAAATGAAACATTCTTTTAAAATAAAGAGACCCAGCAATGATACTACACTTATTTGCTTGAGATCTCATGCAGATATTTGCTAAACCCTTTTTATGATTTTCTACACCACTTTCTTTTACAACACAATAACAACATGGTCTCTTTCAATAAGTAACTGTTCCTATATTCTAGGACCAAAAACATTTTGAATTAAGGAAAGAATAATTTCCAAGCTTTCTACCATGCAAAAAAAACCATGGCTGCAGTTAAATTTTTAAATGCTTTTTATTTATATTTTTATATTTTTATTTATATTTTTTATTTATTTTTCACATTTATGAACTGCCCATCTCTCTCAAAAAGGGGCACTTAAATACTTAGTTCCAATATTTACACCTTTGCACATTTGTTCTTGAGCTGCAGAGCATAATCCTGTGTTTAACCAAAAATTACACAGCTACAGTATTCCAAATTCAGGGGCCTCCTGAGTCCAATGTGTGATCAGACATGTCTTGTCTCCACTGAATAAAAGAAAATCTGTTTTATATTATTATGCTTTACCCTGAACTTGGGCCAATCCAGTAAACACTTCTAATGCATATTAAAAATGCTAAAGTTTCTTTCATTTTTCTCAAAGCCAATTGATGCAGTGGTTGATTGGTTGGAATAAGTTAGAAGAGATTCACTTTTAGGTCCACCATCAACCATGGAATCTCATTGAGTAACTTTCAGCCACCGAATCTCTCCAGCCTGTCCTACTTTGAAAAGGGGATATAAATTTAACAAGCAAAATAAATACATTTGTTGCTGAACATATTTGCTTCCCCCCCCCCCTTTTTTTTTTTGCATTCATCTATCCACTTCTCTTGTTTTTCCTGGTGGTCCAGCACAGTTTGCTTTGCTCCCTGGCACCATGTATATCACAAACAGAATTAATGGCCATTGAAATAGCAACTTTAGATGAGAAGGGATTAAGAATATTGGATTTCTGCCCAGATGGGGTATATGAAATTTTAGGAAAACATCATAACCAGTAGAGATACTTAATGTGTATGAATTCATCAATGCTGTCTATATACTATTAAATGTTCATTGTCATGACATTTAACTCAGCAAAATAGTGCATCATATAGCAACATTTTTGAACCAAATATATTGTGGGTTAATTTATAGAATGGTCCAAATCTGGGACTCTTGACTCCCAATTGAATAAAATTTAGGGATGTTGTGGCTGCTTTAGTGCTACTGAGTTGCTGCTTTCACCATTTTAACATTCCATGACAGTTTCTCAGCCAGTCTCACAATCCTCACTTCTTCCCTCCATCCAGCAGCAGCCACTTGCGGCCCTGCTGGAAAGGGAAGGATGCTCCCTTCCAGGTTCCCATAAGGAAATTCAGTGGGGAAGCCTGTAGGAAATCACAAGTTGTTCCTGCTTTACTTTGTTTTTTGCCTGCCATTGGTTATTCTATTCTATTTAGGTAAAGAAATATCTCTGAAACAATGATACAACAGGGCAGAGTTGTCTAGTTCCATATTGTTGCTACAATCACAGCAGGGATATATTCTTACAATCACCAGGAATCTAATTTGACACAAGGAAAAACTTTACTGGATAAAGTGATTGGGAACAGTCCATCCATTGAAATTGTGACTGTATACATTCTTGCCAGTGTGAGGCACAAAAACCCAGGCAAACTGAGGGCATGGGCAGCTTAACCTGTAAAGTTATAATACAAGAGACAGAACAAAACCTTTTCAGAATATAGGTTTGAATTTAAAACAGCTGTCTTAAATTGCAGCTTAAATCAAGGATCTTAAACTCATTTAAGCCAAGGAAGTGTATACGTTATAAAATTGTGTTTTGTGTGTAAGAGTGGAGTGGGGAGAGTTTTTAAACTTCGTGAAGAAATATAGAGTGGAAAATCATGACTAAAACTGGGTGTGGATGACAGTTTCAGACACATGATCTCCAAAGTTTTATTTATATATCCATGGTTTCTGGAATTGTGTTTTGATGATCTGTTTCCCCCCCCCTTTTTTTTTAATTCTTTTGTCCCCTTCTATATTTGGTTTGCATGTGACTTTTTGTAAAAGGAATTTCTCAAATTGGGAAAGATTTTAGGAAGGTTAAAATAGTACTACAGAGAAGGTGAGATTTTTTTACAAGCTTCTAATTGGGTTAAGCTTGCCTGCTCATTGTAGAGAGAAAGATGTTAGAAAAAGGGAGAAAGAAGAGTCTTTTTTTCCATTCAGCGTTATTCTTACCTTACATCTGGAGCCTCTTTTCATAGTCTGTTTCTGTTGGTCATCTTTGAGGTGAATCAAAGTACTTTGCAGAGGACCAATGCATAATTCCTGGTTTATTTTGTCCATGCAAAATATGAAAAATGAGTAAATTGAACCTATCAGTTTGTTCCAATTTAGCACCTTCTGTATTAGGAGCAATGACACACACCATATTGTATTGTTGGGGTGTTGTTGTTGTTTTTTGGTAATTTACTTACAAACTTGTAATCCTAGTTTATCTTCTCTTCACATTCCAGAATAAAAATCTCAAGTTTATAACTTCGACTTTTTATAGATTTAGTTTCTGGTATGCATGTAGCATTGAATAAGCCATCTGTTAAGCAGGCTGGGGAGCAATTATTATATATCATTGTATAGATACTAATTATACATATTAGTGCATTATTGACTGTAAATCAGTATTCTTGGCAAACAAGATATTTAATTTTAATTTTAACAGTTCTGAAAAGGTGATTTTGACACTTAAAATAGCCACTCAAATGATGGATGATTTATGGTTTATAAGTAATATTTATAGATTGCATTAATACAAAATGTGGACCTTGGTATGTCTATTTATTACACTTTTACATTTATATTTCACTTAATTATGCAAATGTGTACAATATTAATAATAAAATTGACAGCGATAAGATCATTATCACCAACAATCCCTCTTTGAGGGAGATAGGCATTTTAAAAGTTAGATGATAGATAGATAGATAGATAGATAGATAGATAGATAGATAGAATGATGATAGATAATGATAATGATAATAATGAGACAGAGGAAGAGAGATAGAGATGGGAGATGCAAAAGGAAAAGAAAGGAAATCAGCAATATCACACTGATTTTCAATTTCAGAATGATTGTCCCTGAGAAAAAGACAATAGAAAATATGCATCTTCAAGAACATAAAGTTGAACAGATTTCTTAAACAAACAAACAAACAACCATAATCCAGTCTTCTGAAAATAAAATATAGTACTGATTATGAACATCTTCCTTTAAAAATAATTTAATCAGTTATTTAAACAGTGCCTTATCTTTGGTCTCAATTTATAATTGTAAATTTGTTTTGGTTCTAGTGTGATGAATTGCTGCTTAATTAATATGAGAGGATTAAATTGCTTTGTGCATTGAACGCTTGATTTCATTCAGAAGAAACTTCTCTTTTCCCCTTGATATTTAAGAGTTTAAGGAAAGGCATTTTTGTTAGCATGTGCGTCAGATGGACAACCACCCATCTCTCTTCAGCAGCTGCAAAATGTATGTTAATATTGATCATTCTGTTTGGGATTTTTTATTTTTCTACTTGCATGTATGGTAAAACAGGCATCACTCTAGAATCCGAGGGAGCAAGAAGGGAATTTTTCATTGGATATGAGGAATCATTAGAAGATTGCAACTCATGCCTTCAGCTGTATTTCCTCCTTTGGGGAAAAAATGTGTAGTAGAATAAAACAAATAATCATAACTTTGGGAAGCAGATCCCCAATTCCTGCATAATCAATCATTCCTCATGTCTACAACTTAAGGATCATTAAAGGCTTCCTGGATATTGCCAATCCCCACCCCCAATTCAGCAATAGAGCTCAGTGGGTGGCCTAGATGGCAGTTCCCTATTTATCAAGCTGCTGGCTTACTTCAAAATGTTTGTTACACTCACATCACACTCCCTTCAGCTCCATGGGAGACAAACATAAGAGCAAATGCATTATTTCATAACTTTAAAGACACTAAGTTAATTTTTCAGATGGTCCATGGGTCAATAAATTGCTTTTTTAAAAAAATCTGGAAGTCTTTATCATTTTTTCTGAGTCGTTTTGGGATTTT